TTATTATTGAGCTTTACGCACTGAGAAGAACAAATGGTTAAAATATTGGGAAATGGTAAATGTATTTGATGAACTTATGTTTCTATGGATGTGTTTTCCGCTGCTGAACACCTGAATATCTCCTTCAGGGATCAATAAAGTATCTATCTATCTATCTACGGATGTAAACATACAGCTATATACAGTATTTCTTGCACTAGAATATACTGTCTTTTATGCTTCTTTATAGAGACTTTATTCTTGGGTTCCATCTGACGTCAGGGCAGTGAACAACAAACGTAGGACAGGACGTGACGTGTCCTGGTGGTGCAGTCTGCCGGGTTTATACACGGAGATATAGTAGAAGAAGAAGAGGTTTATACACAGAGATATAGTAGAAGAAGAAGTGGTTTATACACGGAGATATAGTACCAGTTAGGCTAGTAACAGTTAGGCTAGTAACAGTTAGGCTAGTAACAGTTAGGCTAGAAACAGTTAGGCTAGTGACAGTTAGGCTAGTAACAGTTAGGCTAGTAACAGTTAGGCTAGTAACAGTTAGGCTAGTAACAGTTAGGCTAGAAACAGTTAGGCTAGTGACAGTTAGGCTAGTAACAGTTAGGCTAGTAACAGTTAGGCTAGTAACAGTTAGGCTAGTAACAGCTAGGCTAGTAACAGTTAGGCTAGTAACAGTTAGGCTAGTAACAGTTAGGCTAGTAACAGTTAGGCTAGTAACAGTGAGGCTAGTAACAGTTAGGCTAGTAACAGTTAGGCTAGTAACAGTTAGGCTAGTAACAGTTAGGCTAGTAACAGTTAGGCTAGTAACAGTTAGGCTAGTAACAGCTAGGCTAGTGACAGTTAGGCTAGTAACAGTTAGGCTAGTGACAGTTAGGCTAGTAACAGTTAGGCTAGTAACAGCTAGGCTAGTGACAGTTAGGCTAGTAACAGTTAGGCTAGTGACAGTTAGGCTAGTAACAGTTAGGCTAGTGACAGTTAGGCTAGTAACAGTTAGGCTAGTAACAGCTAGGCTAGTGACAGTTAGGCTAGTAACAGTTAGGCTAGTAACAGTTAGGCTAGTAACAGTTAGGCTAGTAACAGTTAGGCTAGTAACAGTTAGGCTAGTAACAGTTAGGCTAGTAACAGTTAGGCTAATAACAGTTAGGCTAGTAACAGTTAGGCTAGTAACAGTTAGGCTAATAACAGTTAGGCTAGCAACAGTTAGGCTAGTAACAGTTAGGCTAGTAACAGTTAGGCTAGTAACAGTTAGGCTAGTAACAGTTAGGCTAGTAACAGTTAGGCTAGTGACAGTTAGGCTAGTGACAGTTAGGCTAGTAACAGTTAGGCTAGTAACAGTTAGGCTAGTAACAGTTAGGCTAGTAACAGTTAGGCTAGTAACAGTTAGGCTAGTAACAGTTAGGCTAGTAACAGTTAGGCTAGTAACAGTTAGGCTAGTGACAGTTAGGCTAGTAACAGTTAGGCTAGTAACAGTTAGGCTAGTAACAGTTAGGCTAGTAACAGTTAGGCTAGTAACAGTTAGGCTAGTGACAGTTAGGCTAGTGACAGTTAGGCTAGTAACAGTTAGGCTAGTAACAGTTAGGCTAGTAACAGTTAGGCTAGTAACAGTTAGGCTAGTAACAGTTAGGCTAGTAACAGTTAGGCTAGTAACAGTTAGGCTAGTGACAGTTAGGCTAGTAACAGTTAGGCTAGTAACAGTTAGGCTAGTAACAGTTAGGCTAGTAACAGTTAGGCTAGTAACAGTTAGGCTAGTAACAGCTAGGCTAGTAACAGTTAGGCTAGTAACAGTTAGGCTAGTAACAGTTAGGCTAATAACAGTTAGGCTAGTAACAGCTAGGCTAGTAACAGTTAGGCTAGTAACAGTTAGGCTAGTAACAGTTAGGCTAGTAACAGTTAGGCTAGTAACAGTTAGGCTAGTAACAGTTAGGCTAGTAACAGTTAGGCTAGTAACAGTTAGGCTAGTAACAGTTAGGCTAGTAACAGTTAGGCTAGTAACAGTTAGGCTAGTAACAGTTAGGCTAGTAACAGTTAGGCTAGTAACAGTTAGGCTAGTAACAGTTAGGCTAGTGACAGTTAGGCTAGTAACAGTTAGGCTAGTAACAGTTAGGCTAGTAACAGTTAGGCTAGTAACAGTTAGGATAGTAACTTCCAAACTAGAACTCTCTGGAACTACATGAAAACTAAACACAGAATCCTGAACATCTGCGGTGAGTGACCCAAACATAAACTTAACCTAAATAATTTGATCCTCTGCAAATGTTCCTAAAATGTCCCGGAATCTACTTCCGGGTTTTTTGTGATTTTCTCGTATTAAAACAGTTTTTTGTCATGAAAACGTGAACAGATACTTCTGAAAACCCCTGTGTGTTAAGAATGTAAATGTATTCTCTGATTAACATTTAAATGTGTTATTGATTGGTATTTGCGTTTATTTATTGTAATCTACACATCTGAATTACAAGCAGAGAGTGCGTTGCCAAAAGGCAGTGGTCATTATTGTTTTGAGAGGTCAGTTATCAAGAAATAATGACCGGTAGAATGTTTTTAAATTACATTCAAATCAATGGAGCGTTCTCCTGCTGCTGTGAGGAGCGTGTCATAAACCTAAATAATAAAGAATCCGTGCAACATTCCACCTCCAAAGACAATCCCAATGCTCGCCTGAACAATCAATATTTTCCGAGTCATTCAAAGTTTTCTCCATCTGCAGCTTCTCTCTGTGTATTATTCACTTCTTTATCCCGGCTGTACAAGAGCTGATCCATCAATGTCAGAAACGAAGAGCGCCTCAACGGCTCCAGCTTCGCTCCTGTCTGTTTCTCCAGCTCCCAAATCTGTAACACGGAAATCATTTCATCACATGCCACTTCCTCCAACCCCCGACACATCCATCCTGACCTCCTTCTACACAGACATTGACTCCTGCTCTGCACTTCATCCTCTGCTTTTCACCTCCACTCCCTGCAACCTCTCTCTGCTACTTCTGCTGCCGCCCGGAGCCGCCCGGAGCCGCCCGGAGCCGCCCGGAGCCACCCGGAGCCGCCCGGAGCCACACGTCTCAATCACGGACATTTGCTCCCGTCATTTCACGTAGAGACCGCCGCCATCACCATAGACAGATAACACGCCTGCACCATAAGCGCTATGATACTTTTAACGCTAGACCTCCCAGAGCAGTCAATCTGACGGCTTTTTTTGTGTGTAAATGCTTGTGAGCGTGTGTGCATTCCTGCTCTTCCTAAAGGTTTATCTCTCTCTATATGTAGTTTATTTATGTTATTACTTTTATGAATTGAAATTATTATTGAAATGTGAGATTCTTGTGACTGTTATTTTGACTGCTCCATTCATTTATATTTACTGTTTTTTTTATTCTGCTGCCAACTAAAGTGGCAATAGGCATTTACAACTTCTCAGAAAATGGACTGTAAGCCATAATCATCAAAATAATAACATAAGTCTTGTCAGAGAAGAAGCCTGTCTCACATTTTCAGGAAGCACATCACATTCTGATGTATAAATCAGAAAGGCTGTCTCCTCATGTTTAGTCCTGACTCTGGGACCAGCAGGAGGCCAGTCCCTGTGCTCCTCAGAGTCCCAGCAGGAGGCCAGTCCCTGTGCTCCTCAGAGTCCCAGCAGGAGGCCAGTCCCTGTGCTCCTCAGAGTCCCAGCAGGAGTCTTTCTCTCACACGTGTCTCTCTCTCACACGTGTCTCTCTCGCACACATGTCTCTCTCTCACATGTCTCTCTCTCACACATGTCTCTCTCACACGTGTCTCTCTCACACACATGTCTCTCTCACACGTGTCTCTCTCTCACACGTGTCTCTCTCACACACATGTCTCTCTCACACGTGTCTCTCTCTCACACGTGTCTCTCTCACACACATGTCTCTCTCACACATGTCTCTCTCACACGTGTCTCTCTCACACACATGTCTCTCTCACACGTGTCTCTCTCTCACACGTGTCTCTCTCACACACATGTCTCTCTCTCATACATGTCTCTCTCACACATGTCTCTCTCCCACACATGTCTCTCTCTCACACGTGTCTCTCTCTCTCACATGTCTCTCTCTCTCACATGTCTCTCTCTCTCACATGTCTCTCTCTCTCACATGTCTCTCTCACACGTGTCTCTCTCTCACACGTGTCTCTCTCACACACATGTCTCTCTCTCATACATGTCTCTCTCACACATGTCTCTCTCCCACACATGTCTCTCTCTCACACGTGTCTCTCTCTCTCACATGTCTCTCTCTCTCACATGTCTCTCTCTCTCACATGTCTCTCTCTCTCACATGTCTCTCTCCCACACATGTCTCTCTCTCACACGTGTCTCTCTCACACACATGTCTCTCTCACACATGTCTCTCTCACACATGTCTCTCTCCCACACATGTCTCTCTCTCACACGTGTCTCTCTCTCTCACATGTCTCTCTCTCTCACATGTCTCTCTCTCTCACATGTCTCTCTCTCACACATGTCTCTCTCCCACACATGTCTCTCTCTCACACGTGTCTCTCTCACACACATGTCTCTCTCACACATGTCTCTCTCACACATGTCTCTCTCTCTCACATGTCTCTCTCACATGTCTCTCTCGCACACATGTCTCTCTCTCTGTCACATGTCTCTCTCTCTCACATGTCTCTCTCTCTCACATGTCTCTCTCTCTCACATGTCTCTCTCCCACACATGTCTCTCTCTCACACGTGTCTCTCTCACACACATGTCTCTCTCACACATGTCTCTCTCACACATGTCTCTCTCTCTCACATGTCTCTCTCACATGTCTCTCTCGCACACATGTCTCTCTCTCTGTCACATGTCTCTCTCTCTCACATGTCTCTCTCTCTCACATGTCTCTCTCTCTCACATGTCTCTCTCTCACACGTGTCTCTCTCCCACACATGTCTCTCTCTCACACGTGTCTCTCTCCCACACATGTCTCTCTCTCACACATGTCTCTCTCTTGTGCAGGTGAGCGGTGCAGAAAGAAAAGCAGGATGGTGGCCCTGTCCCTGAAGATCTGCGTGCGCCAGTGCAACGTGGTGAAGACCATGCAGTTCGAGCCGTCCACGCCGGTCTACGACGCCTGCAGGATCATCCGAGAGCGCGTCCCGGAAGCACAGTCCGGACAAGGTGGACCCAAGGAGATGTTTGCATGTGGCTTTATCACATGACAGAGTTTTACTGACGATCTCTCTGTGTCTCAGCCTCAGATTATGGGCTGTTCCTGTCCGACGATGATCCCAGGAAAGGAATCTGGCTGGAATCGGGGAGAACCTTGGATTATTACATGCTACGGAACGGCGTAAGATCCACAGACTTTTGTATTGTGGGCTTTGTGGGGTTTGGCACAAAACATAAAATAGTGAGAAATTATAGTTATAGCTACGAAGGGCTGGGCGATATGGCTGAAAACTATATCACAATATAAATAATTCATATCGTTCGATAAGGAAACCTAAATTAATAGATGTGTCGTGTCGCTAACACACATTAGCAGCCTTGTTTACAGTCACGGGGGAATGAGGCTGGAGGAATATGTTCACACAGTGTCCGCCATTGTTAGTGCTGGTTTAATCCTGGTTTAGTCCTGGTTTAACCCTGGTTTAGTCCTGGTTTAGTTCTGTTTTGGCTGTTTTGGCTGTTTACGAGTGTCTTGTGTCCCAGTGACAGCTCTGTGCACCTCTCAGAGAGCTTCCCGAGGAAAAAGTTCATCTCTTGCCTTCGCCACATGCATCAGGTCTCTTTGCGGTTCATACTCGGCTGTGATTGGTCGAGAAGCCTCTGCCTACATCCCCCAGAATGCCGCATGCTTCTAACTCGGCTTTACTTTCTGTGTTTTCTTCCTGTTTTTTCTAACGGAGTGAACTTAAACTATTGAACATTCTATCGACCCTGTTTTCTATTGATATCGAACACGAGTCTATCGTATATTGTTATCGTTTTATCGCCCAGCCCTATAGCTACGTACGAAAAATAACTGTTTGACACGCCCCCCAAGCTTCCTGATTTAACGCAATAAATTAAAATCTTGATAGACAGCTGAGCCCCCTCCACATTGGTTAAACTATTCTCCTTAAGCAAGTCTTAGTGGTGATGCTTATTCCAAGGCAAGGAACTATTTTAAATAATCGCATTATTAAAATACTTGGTGCTACAGACATGTGGTCAAAAATACATTTTACTTTCTAAATTAAATACAATTGAAGTTGCAGAAGTCACCTTTAAATCTGGGGTCCCTGACATTCAAACCACAAACAAACTATAATTAAATTCTGGCTCTTAAAACAGTTTTTGCAGTCAGAAAAGTTATACAAGTCTCTCACTCAGCCAATCAGCTCTCACCTGTTATAGAATTATATACCCCATGAAGGAGGAAACTCAAAGGTCCTTTGTCTGATCAAAAGCGTAAGTTTATTGTTAACGCACGTGCGGAGAGCCAGCACATCCACTCCAAGGCAGCATGTCCCAGCTCTGGGGGCCAGAGCCCCGAGCTTCCTGTATACAAGACACACACGAAAGCCAGTCCCGCCCACAACAGATGGGAGGGGGGCCACCGGTGCAGGAGGCGCATAGGGATGCAAACAGACTGCAGGATGTAGAGAGTGCACACATACAGACCGATACATATGCAAGAGGTGAAAGGGGGCAAGAGTGATAGCCATTGTCTGTAGGTGTCGGGGGGGCCCGGCTCCTTCCTGGCAGCAGGGACATATGGATAGGAGCAGGCATACCGATTCAAGATACGAAAGACACAAGGGTGTGACAGACAGCAGGGGGCCCTCACAAAGCTCAGCATGGCGTCAGAAGGGCGTCTCTGCATTGATAAAAGGCCTTTGACGTCCGTGTATTTGCTGCGGCTGGTTTTATGTAATTACTCCAAAAACTGTCACCACACTCCCCTCTTTTGATAATTCAAAACCATTTTTGCATTAATCAGTTAAATACCAGAGGCATCGTAATCACACCACCTTCAAGCTTGAAACACTTAAATTATTGCTGTCCAAAGTGGACAAGAAAAGAAACATGCTTGTCAATAAAAGAAAGAGCACATTATAATAACACAATGGATCCGGACAGCGATAAGAAAAGACAATATTAACATAATAAACACGGTCAGCACGGAAAGTAGTGTCAGTGTGGCCAGCATAACAGTCCAAGGGCCCATGCCGGTCTTAGCCGGGCTACGTTCGGTAGTCTTTTCCGCGGGAATACTCACGAGCAGTGCCGTCTCGCAGTCAGTGGCACCGCTCCCTATGAGCGTGTGTGGAGCGTTAGTGGTCATGGCGATGTTTGGTCTTGGAGCGGCAAGACTCTAATTGCGTTGAAGCCTTGGCCTCAGCACTCGGTTGGGCAGAGTGCTCGGGGTTTGGGGTGTGGAGACCATGGCTTGAGCACGCTCCAGATCGGCCAGGCCCAAAGCTCGTTTGATGGGAGACCTCATGACAGCACGCTTCACCATGTGCCTCATCAGGAACTGTAGAGCAGCCCTCATCTCCACCTCCTCCGGACACACGGGAGACGAGACACCAGGGGGCACTCCAACAGAGCTCAAATCTGCATTATGGCCAGAGGGAGCAAGCTCTGGAGAAATCTTTGGAATGGGCAGCAGCTCTGCATACTTGCTGCAGCTGAGCAGAGCGCTCAGGGCCTTCATGGCTCCCAAGCCTTGGGATCCGGGGGCTGGGGAGTTGGGCAAAAAGGGGGGTCGCCTCGGGAACGCTGGGATTCTCTGGGTGTTGTTGTTGGCCTGCTTCACCGACGGTGGCCGCACGCCGGCCGACTTCTTCAGCGTAGGGAGCCGCGGATGGGCCTGGTCCGTCCGCGCCCTCGGTGTCCTCGTCTATGGCCCTCAGTGGCAGCACCGCACGACAGTGGTTGGCGTGGATCCAAGTTGTCCTCTCCGCGACCTTAACGGCCGTGTCCGTCACCAGGAGGGCGAGGAATGGGCCGAGCCAGCGCTTGGACCGCCAGTGCTTTCGTCTCGTTTCCTTCACCAGGACCCAGTCGCCTGCGCAGCCTGTGGCAGGGCGCTCCTGACCTGGGCAGAAATAGAGGACAAAAGTGCATTAATTTCCTTACAATAGGACAGCATGTCGTCATCACACAAAGAGGTGCTTGGCAGATCTCTGTTCGGGGGTCCCGCGCCCAACGTGGGGCTAGCGGCAGAGCTTTGAGTGCCATTCTCTCGCTCGCACGTGCCTCCGGACCAGGGGGCGTAACTGCAGTGTTTACGTATATCAATGCCCAGAAATTCACCCACTTCCTCAATGACTTTTGCTACAAAGTGACTCACCACCGCGTTGCTCGTGGCGTGTATGCCTGCAAATACTTCAGTCCATTTGGACCAGAGATCCGCCAGACCCAGACAGTATTACTTACCTTGGCATGGTGTGAGTTCAACAAAGTCCCTTTGGACATGTTGAAATGGGCGCAGGGGCGGAGGATGAGCAGCCTGTTGGATACTTTTGGGACTTACCTGGGTTGTGCGCGGGGCATATAGCGCATGTTTGGCTGAATCTCTGTGCAAATGCCGTAAACCCCTTTGTATACCAATTTTGTGTGATTAAATCACACATCATCCCTCCTTTTGAGGCATGGTCTCGACCATGTGCTAAAATTGCAAACTGTCTGAAGAAATGCCGTGGTAGGCACGGTTTGCTGTCTGGTCCCAGCCACACACACCATGCCGTCGTTGAGCCCCATTCCCCTCTCACAGCAGCGTCTCTGCTGGAGTAGAAAATATCAACGTCTTGAGTGAGGTAGTGTGTGTGTGTGTGTAGAGGTGCGTATGCCGCTGCCTTGTCCGCGCGCCGATTCCCTGCAGAGATGGGATCAGTGGCATTAGTGTGGGCCTGGCATTTGCATACAGCGATCTCTAAGGGCAACATTACAGCTTTCAGCAGACGTTCAACCTGTGTGGAATTAAGAATTGGTTTACCATCAGATTTCATAAAATTGCGGTGTTTCCACAGTGCTTCCCAGTCGTGCACCACAGAGAAACCATAACGCGTATCACAGAATATGTTAACCGTTTTGCCCGCTGCCAGCCCCGGTGGGCGCGACCAGTTCAGCGGTTTGTGCTGAATGGTAGTGGGGCAAACTACCAGAGTCTATAGTATCAAAATCAGAACACACAGCATAGCCGACTCGGTTCTTCCCAGTGTTGTCACGTGACGCGGCTCCGTCTGTATAAAAAAAAATCAAGTCAGGATTAGTCAGAGGCACCTCTTTCAGGTCTGGCCTGGGAGTGCATATCTGTTCTATTGTGGCGATACAGCAGTGTGCCTCCCCTTCCTCTGGCGTGGGCAGCAGCGAGGGGGGGTTCAGCTGTGTGCATCCCTTCACCGTAGTTCAAAGAGCACCGTGTTGTACCCCAGCCAACGAGCCGCAGAAAGGCGAGAGGCCCTCTGCTCTAACAGGATCAGGGAAACAGCATGGGGCACAAGCAAAGTTAGTTCAGTGTATCCCACAAGGTCACGTGATGCTAGGGCCGCTTTCTCAGCGGCAGCCACAGCCCGCAGGCAGCGAGGCAACCCTGCTGCCACGGGACCGAGTTTTGCTGAGAAGTAAGCAGTGGGTCTCAGTGGCCCTCAGTGAGGCTGCAAAAGTACTGACTGTTCCGTTCATCTCCAGTTGCTTTTCTCCCGGATCGTCCTCAATTCATATTGTGGGCTTTTGTGCCAAAGTGGAGGCTCATTTCCTCCTGATCCATACTACTGTCATCCCTGGAGCAGGGGTAGTTTATCTCTCATCTGAAAAAGAAATATCAGAACACAAAAAAAACACAAAAAATGCCCACTTTCGCTTGTCAATCTTTTTCCCAATTGGGCAAAACATAACTGCATTGACAGGTGGTGTGTGGCATCAGGGCGGAGGCTGTAGCCAAATACAGAACAACAAAATGTATGTTTCTAATTTTATACTCCCCTAAATGTGAGTTACAAACCAAAGTTGTCCTCCGCCCAATGACCGCTCACTGCGGTTGGACCGAATCACTGTCAGGGCAAACAGCAGAGGGAGGAACTCCCAATATCTTCAGCGAGGTATTTCATCTCAGAGTACTTTCCGCAGAGTACTTTTCTCAGAGTACTCATCCCAGAGTACTCTCACTTTTACACCTGTTCAATAAAGCTTGTTATCTTTGAATCTCTAGTACTTACACCGTATGCTGTTGACAAAAAAGAATTATTCCATGATCACATTAAAACATTACAGACACATTTGTTATTCCAGGATTCCGTTCAGCATTCCTCATTTCACTCCACACTCACATCACAGTCACATCACAGGCCGACTCCCCACGTTAGTATTGGTCCAGAGTTTGTTAAGGTCAGCGTAGTGTACTTTGACATGACACACAAACATATAACATACACAAAACATATAACACACAAACATGTAACACACACAGAAGGCCTGTACTTTTAACTTTGTTATATTTTTCCATGTCCAATTCCAATTGTCTCATGAGCTATTTCTTATTGTTGCAACTTTCAGAGCCTGTAGAGCTTTAAAAGAGTTTTCCTAAAAGGATCCATTTCCAACTTTAGTGTTTACCACGTGGTCTATACTTCGGGCTTATCACAGATTGTGTCCCCTATATCTCTAATGAGCTCTTGTCACCTAAAAAAATGTTTATTTTCCTTATTTTTTTCTTTTTCAATAAAGCCAGGTCGGATTCATTAAAAATGTAAATTAGTCTCAAACTTTAATACTTCACCTTTGTTTCACGATAAAAATGTTTTTGTTACTCATTAAGTAGCACAGATAGTGGTGCCTATCTCAATAAACGTACTCCGTTAGCCTATCTTCCCTACACTGCATGAATTTTCAAACTCCAAGTTATTGTCTGGGAACGACCGGAGAGAGCAGCTTAGGTCGTTCGCGTGGTTGACCTCCAAATTTTGTGCGGGCGTCACTATTCACTTGTTGTGGCTAATAACTTAGCAATCTCAGGGTTTGGTGTCAATTTCCAGTGGTAGTTAACTTTTGGGCGGTGCCTCCTTTTATTTATCTATTTTTAATTGAGTCTGCACATAAGGTCTCGGCCTAGTAGATTAGCCGGGCACAATGGGGAATATAGAAAAGAATGTTTAAGCTGGTTGCCCTGAGAATCAAAACACGTTAGCGGTGACGTAAATTGCTCTTTAGTCGTCTCTCCGACGCTGCTAATTAGAATATGAAGCGGCCGCTCATTTTAGGGGAGACAGAAAGGCTGTCACTTTTAGCACAGAATTTGTTGCCCCGGAGTCATCCAGAATTTTAACTTGTACACCACAGGTTGTTAGCGTATATTACGGGCATGAATTATCTCTAAAAAGTGCCAATTGCAATTTGTTGTTGTTCAACTTACATGAGCGGTCGCTTTGGTGACGAATGTGAACCCAGGTTTGGTCAGTCGCTCGTGTTTCCTCCACGCCCGCCTCTGCCGTCCTCTGGCCCCGTGTTAGCTTGAGCGTTCCTCTGCCTTTAACGCCTCCTCCGGTAACAGTCCTTCGACCCATGTCGAGCACACAGTCTTTCCGCCGGGCTGTGGAAGTTTTGCAAAGTCTGCAGGAGGCCCAGGTAGCCCAGAGCGTTAGCATGTGGTCCATGAGGGTTGGTGAATAACCCAAACGTGCCGGTCACAATGGCTTCTTCTGTTTGCGGTGCGGGAACAACTTTCAAGCGGGTTTCCGCGGGTGCGTTTGGTATATCACGCTGCCCCCTCCGTGGAGAACAGTCACGGGATTTGGAGCAGTTTCTCTCTGTGCTCCAAAGCAGTTGTCGGTGTCTCACATATTTGTTTCCTCCGCTTCTTCTTCTGTGGTTTCCTGAGCGTGTGTCTGTTTCCGCCTCTTCTTCTTCTGCGGTTTGGGCCCACTTCTCGCGGGGTCTCAGCTGGTGCGAGCGCCGCCTGTGGTTGGGGCGTGGGGCTGGTGCTTTGAGGCAGAGGACAGAGCGCGGAGGAAAAGCGCCGACAGACCTGGACAGGGAAAGGAAAAGGGACAACAGTAGTCTGCTCATTTTTTAAAAACCCAACGCCTTGTTTGGGTGCACACTTATTGTTAGTAGGGGTAGGGTGGGGGTGTGGGGGATGTGTGTGTGTGTCCGCCTCTGTGTTCTCCGCTTCGGTGAAAGGCGGAGGAGCTATTGTTTTTACATATTTCTTTCTCTAACCTCTTTTGCCGTGATATTCTTAAAACCAAGTATATTTTTTCTTCCCTTCTTCTTCTAAATTATCACGCAAGATGCGTAATGGCCTGCACCATAGGCAAGCACTCCATAGCTTGCGTCTTCTAGATTGATTTTTACCCATTTTCTCGTACGAACAATGGGCCTAACCCGCTTAGTCTCTCCCTGCTCCTACCCACTTTGGGGCGCTCCGTTCCCCCCCCCCGCTGGTTCAACCAGCGAGCGCGCGTTCTTGAAAACGGAGCGGTTCTGGCTGAAGACACTCAGAGATTCCAGGGTCGCTTACAGAGCGATACTAACGCGCAGCCGCTAGCTTCAATCTAGAACAAAAAAGCCCCCAAAAAATCCCGCACACAGACTATGCTGTGGCAATGAATGAAATACCCCAAAAATACATAAATAAACAAATCCCCGTGTCGACTTAAGGGCTGCCCTGGGCTCGTTACGCAGATGAAAAGACAAGACTCACCAGATTAGGTTCTTTTTGGTCTTGTGTGGCAAAAGGATTCCTTCCGTGCGCGGGACGAGCGCGCCCTCCTTTGTCTCCAGAAAGGAACAGAGGCTGGTGATCCAGGTCGGCCAAACAAAGCCGCTCGTCCCCGCCGAAAGTATCCATGCCAAGACATGTCAGCAACGCCAAATTGTTATAGAATTATATACCCCATGAAGGAGGAAACTCAAAGGTCCTTTGTCTGATCAAAAGCGTAAGTTTATTGTTAACGCACGTGCGGAGAGCCAGCACATCCACTCCAAGGCAGCATGTCCCAGCTCTGGGGGCCAGAGCCCCGAGCTTCCTGTATACAAGACACACACGAAAGCCAGTCCCGCCCACAACAGATGGGAGGGGGGCCACCGGTGCAGGAGGCGCATAGGGATGCAAACAGACTGCAGGATGTAGAGAGTGCACACATACAGACCGATACATATGCAAGAGGTGAAAGGGGGCAAGAGTGATAGCCATTGTCTGTAGGTGTCGGGGGGGCCCGGCTCCTTCCTGGCAGCAGGGACATATGGATAGGAGCAGGCATACCGATTCAAGATACGAAAGACACAAGGGTGTGACAGACAGCAGGGGGCCCTCACAAAGCTCAGCATGGCGTCAGAAGGGCGTCTCTGCATTGATAAAAGGCCTTTGACGTCCGTGTATTTGCTGCGGCTGGTTTTATGTAATTACTCCAAAAACTGTCACCACACACCCCAAAGAGTCAAATAGCAACTCACAGGGAATGCAAATGTTTTCTACAAGATGGCGGGAGCATGCCACAAATATAAACAGTGGCACGGTGGTTGAGCAAACTGAAATAATTGTCCTAGCTCTAAATGTCATAATTGTCTTTCCTCAACATTAAAGGCCATTCCCACAGATACAGAAGAGGCAGTTTCTCCATTGTAAATATTTATACACTGCCCCCTGTAGGACACTCTCACTTTACTGAGAATAAATATCAATCAAAGTGTGTTTTGATTTTCTAGGATATTTTGGAGTACAAGAAGAAGCAGCGACCGCAGAAGATCAAAATGCTGGATGGTGCGGTGAAGACCATAATGGTGGATGACTCTAAAACCGTGGGAGAGCTGCTGGTCACGATCTGCAGTAGGATTGGTAAACAAGTTCACAAATACTAGCCATGGGGGGAAAAATCGATTCTGGTCAGTATCACGATATTTTGGACACGCAGGTAAAACGATACAGTACAGCTCAGATATATTCAAAGTACTGCGATATTTGACTAATCAGTTTCACTCTTATTATTATTGTATTATTTTATATTTTACATATTTAATCACTCAGGCTCTGGCTCTGGCTCTGGCTCTGGCTCTGGCTCTGGCTCAGGCTCAGGCTTTGACTCTGGCTCTGGCTCTGGCTCTGGCTCAGGCTCTGACTCTGGCTTAAGCTCTGGCTCAGACTCTGGCTCAGACTCTGGCTTTGGCTCTGGCTCTGGCTCTGGCTCTAACTCTGACTCTGGCTCAGACTCTGGCTCAGACTCTGGCTCAGACTCTGGCTCAGACTCTAGCTCAAGCTCTGGCTCAAGCTCAGGCTCAGACTCTGGCTCAGACTCTGGCTCTGACTCTGGCTCTGGCTCTGGCTCAGACTCTGGCTCAGACTCTGGCTCAGACTCTGGCTCAGACTCTGGCTCAGACTCTGGCTCAGACTCAGGCCCTAGCTCTGGCTCTGGCTCTGGCTCTGGCTCAGACTCAGACTCTGGCTCAGACTCTGGCTCAAGCTCTGGCTCAAGCTCAGGCTCAGACTCTGGCTCAGACTCTGGCTCAGACGCTGGCTCTGGCTCTGGCTCTGGCTCTGGCTCATGGTCAGGCTCGTAAAAACAGAGGAACTATCAGACAGTCAGTAACATAAGCGACATGATATGAAGTGAAGTGGAGCCTCATACAAACATAATTCAACAATAAAAGCTCAAACACCAACAACACTCAGAGTCCAGGAGTCTAATGGCAGTTGGGACAAAAGATTCTAAGTCACAATATATCCCAGAATCGAATCGCAATACTTGCTGTATCGTCATATGTTAAGTATCGCAAAACTATTGAATTGAGGCCCAAATATGGCAACACTATCGAATCGTCACAGTTTTTGCCCATTCCCACCCTGTACTGAATCCATTGGTTACAGTAATAACAATATCAATAACAAGAATGTTCTTAATTTCAGGAATCACCAACTACGAGGAGTATTCTCTCATCCAGGAGACGGCGGAGGACAAAAAGGACGAGGCCACCGGGACTTTGAAAAAGGACAGGACTTTGTTGCGCGACGAACGAAAGATGGAAAAGCTCAAGGCCAAGTTACACACGGACGACGACTGTGAGTGTGTGTCTGCATCCAGCCCATTCGTTATCCAAGCAATCACCTTGTGTTTATATAGAGCACGGGACTATATTTGGTCCCATCCCTGCACTATGTGGCCGCACCTGCATGTGAAAGCCAGATCCCCGACTGACTTCTGAGGCTAAGCAGGACAGGGCCTGGTTAGTACTGTGATGGGAGACCTCTGGGAACGCCAGGCAGATAGATAGATAGACAAATAGATAGATAGATAGATAGATAACTTTATTACAGACTCATGGTTCACATCAAAACATACACATTTTAAACAGATAAAAAGCAGACAATAAAAATCTCTAAACTTTCACGAGGCAGTCATACCAAGACAAGGGGTCTGGTGTGTGCATGAATGGTTGGTGGTGGAGAAATGCTGGTTGCGTCGCCTCTGTCAGTGTGCCCCAGGGCAGATATGGCTACAGTAGTAGTTTATCAGCCCAGTGTAGGGAGTGAAGAGTCTGTGAGTGTCCAAAAATAGCTATATAAAACCAATGTATTATTATTATTATTATTAAAGAGCATGTGTGTTTGCAGTGAACTGGTTGGACCACAGCCGCACGTTTCGAGAGCAGGGAGTGGAGGAGAGTGAGACTTTGCTGCTCAGGAGAAAGTTCTTCTATTCAGACCAGAATGTGGACTCCAGAGATCCAGTGCAACTCAACCTGCTCTATGTCCAGGTAAACCCCCGAGTCAAACTGTTTGTCTCATAAGGCAGGAAAAAAGTATATTAAAAAGTGTATTAACCGTTTAATTAATGGTTTTCATCAAGCATTTGGTGGATCACTTTTTGAGTCACTAAATCTACTTGAAGATTGGAACTGAAATCTACATCATTGGGGCATCTCTTGTCACTCGGTTATAGGCATTTTTTACTATTCATTTCGTAGAGGCCTATTTAAAAAAAATCTTAGGGAATAAAAATACATTGCTATCTTTGAGGAGTAAACATTAAAAGGTTAAAAGTCCATCAAACACAATAAAATAAAGCATGCCGTATGTGCTGCTGTCATTTTACACTGCAGCTGTAACACGGCCAAGAACGTTCTTTAAAAAGGTGCTTTCCTAGAACAAGCATGACATAATGGAATTTAACTTCCGGCCCTCTCTCTCAATCCTCCTCTTTTGTTTTCTTTCCCTCTTTCCCCCTCCTATGGCCTTGTTCTGGTCTGACATAATCAGGACTGCACCCCACCCTTGACTCTGACACACATACTGAATTTCGTCTCTCCAAAACACGTCCCCCTCTGCCTCCACAGCCTCAGGAGGCCTGCGAAAAGTGCACAGAATATGAGATAATGTGTGAGAAATGTGGCTGTCGGAGTTCGAGGAAGGGTTTTGGACAGGGTTATGAATGAAGTTGTGCTTGTGTGTGAATGCTTTCTGCCATGTCTTTGAACCCAAACCCCCCAACGATGAGGAAAAACACCAGGCAGCCTTTTGTTCTCTGCAGTAGATCCACATCAGGATTGACAAAGATTTTCCATTTTTTTCCCTTTCCATATTGCAAGGGAGTGACATGGCAAAAAAGGCAAGGTTATTGTACACAATGCAAAAAGTGATGAAAAATTCGTCAAAAATTGCTCATATCTGGCAAAAATGTATCTTAATTTGAGCACATTGTGACTGTCCGAAAGATTTGCCAATGGGACAAAGCAAGAATGATCTTGTTTTAAAAAGACACAAGAAATGGCTTTGTCCCAAGTCAGAAGGCACTAAAAAATATAAAAACCACTCGATTCAAGCAATTATAATATTACCTCATATTTCATATTTTTTTGCAGTGCAGCATGATTCATTCACAGAGAAATAACAAATAATCACACAACATTCATAGTTAATAACTCATTTCAAAAGAAGAGCAGACTCAATACTGCCGCAGTATTCACAGTTTTTATTCATCTACCTTTGGACCTTGTCAGAGCAGACGCAGATATGATCCTTCAGTTTTGTGCAGAGCTAAACCCGTCTGTTTTTGTCACAGCAGAAGCTTGTCTCACACAGACCAAAAATAATCATGGCTCATAATCTTTTAGCATATTACGACATTGTTCCTTCATCAAATCATACCTGGACCTATTTTTAGCTCCTTCCACGTCAACGAGAGGAACAAAAATGTCTCTCCTTTGGTCTAAAACGCTTCTATCTCAAACTTGGTTCACTAAGACCATGTTACGATAGGCATCGCTAAACTATGGCCCACGAGCCGATTGCGGCCCTCTGAGTGATTATATTTGGCCCTCTGCATTCTCCATCTCACAGCTTCAGATCAGCTGTTTTTCAGGCAGGAAGTGAAACAGAGAGGACCACCCTTCACTCGACCAATCAGCTCTTTAGCCCAAAGTATCAGGTAGTGACTCACAGGGCTAGTTTTCCATTAAGATGAAGGTGGCGTGTCATGAGAAAATAGGGAGCACAGGACACAAACAAAGCAGAATATTGGTTCTTCAAAGAGACACCCAAAAAAGAGTTTTTCAGTCAGAATTAATTTTGGTATGAAGCGAAATACCAGTAACATGTATATTCCAGAACAAGTAGCTTCATGTGAAAGCCAGATCCCGTCAGACCTCTGAAGCTAAGCAGAGCAGGACCGGGTTAGTACTCTGATGGGAGACCTGTAGGAACAGCAGGTGTAGCAGCAGCAGGCCATAGACAACCACAGTGGGTTGTCTATGGCAGTAAAGTGCTAAACTGTGATTGCGTCCTTAGGCAAGACACTTCCCCCACATTAGAATGAGTCTGGTGTGTGTGTGAATGGTTGGTGGTGGTGGGAGGGGCCGATGGCACAGACTGGTTGCCTCACTTCTGTCAGTGTGTCCCAGGGCAGCTGCGTTTATGACCACCATCTATGATTGTCCAAAAAAAGCTCTATTATAAACTGATGCATTATAATTATTCCCTTGGTTCAAGAGACATAAAGGAGCTTGCCTCATGTGTACAAACAGTGGGCGTGGTGGCAGTAGTTGTAGTATTATATTTGTACACAATCAACTGTTTAACTGAGATGCATCTGATTGGTTTACGCCGCGGCCACTCATGCACTGGGGCTTTGAGACGAGCCAACAAAAGCCCCGCTCAGAATATAGACCAGCTGAGCAGCGAAGCGCACATGACTTTTGACTTGCGTTAATCAACCATGAACCTTAAGAATCCTTGCGCTGCTTGCCTGACATATCACACAGAGCGGACACAGTGGACTGTCTAAATTCCGTTCGTTTTGAACATTTTTCACTTTTTTCCAGGCTTAATCAAGTGTCACACCATTTGAAGTGATGCTTGCAGTGGATAAGATTCCGTTCTTTCTTACTGGATTCTTGTTGGTCTTGTGAAAATGCAGGGCGATAACATTGCAGCTCACGTTCTCCTTGTCCTCTCCAGGCCAGAGACGACATATTGAACGGTTCTCACCCGGTCTCGTTTGACAAGGCCTGTGAGTTCGCCGGGATCCAGGCCCAGGTGCAGTTTGGACCCCACATGGAGCACAAACACAAGCCGGGATTTCTGGAGTGAGTTTCTGTTTGTTCTGTTTGGCTTCTTTGTCTTCAACTATCACCGTACAAAGAATACCATAAGGATTTATTTTACTACACAAACTTGAAGTATTGCTTTGTAAATTCTATAGAGACAGCACAAGGCATAGCTGTGACAGTGATCATTGTCACAAATCTAAGTTTTAAATTGTACTGAACACATCAAATTATAGTCAAGTTAGTATTTTTCTTAATCAGTAAATTCCTTAATATATTTCAAATATATGCAAGTTTTTACATCTTCCATATTCCATTTCGAGCTGACAAACAGTATATACAAATAAAATCTGGTGAAGCTAACACTGTTGCTTGATTGTATGTATATGTATATATTTGCATGTGTATGTTTATGCTGTAAGCACAGTAGGGAACAGAACAATGTACAAAAGTATCTCCATAAACTAAGTTAGGAATAAAAATAGTGTAAATACTCTAAGGCATAAAATCAATCAATTACAGTTTTTCTCAGTTGCTTTGGTGCATTTTTCACATCAGACTGAAAGTTCTCAAAACTATTTGTTCAACTTCCACAACATTGGGTCATTGGTGCACATCATCACGGCAGTTTCTCATTCCTCTGAACACATTTCAAATGCTTTTGTTCATGTATCAATAACTTTCATACAATTCTCAGCGTTTTTTCAACATCATCATTTGCTTCTGTCCTGTCAGTCAAAATGAAACACACTTATCACTTCTGAATAGTCATTCACTATAAAACTAACTGTCCTCATTTCATTGCTTTGGTCATCACATACAAAATTGTTGAACTAGTTCTCAAAATCATAACTGTCAAGCTAATTTCATACATTCCTTCATCTTTTTTTCCTGTAAATCTTTCTTAAATTGAACAATTTATCTCACTCATGAGGTGTGCTTTATTGTTCATTTTTGTCACAGTTCTACCATAATGATATTTCTGTATGTTTGTTCTATGTATATACTGTACATGTATGTGTCTGCACTTCTACAGCATTGTGCAACAAAAATACAAAGAGCATATGCAGTACACATACATACATACATACATATACATACAGTACATACTTACATAGATACACACATACATACATACATACAGTACATACATACATAGATACACACATACATACGTACATACAGTACATACATATATGTTACAGAATGTCAGTTACTCTAAATACAGTCTTTGTGTAACTTTACTGTAGTTTTTACTGTAAATGGCCGTATAGGTCGTGTATAATGTGCTCATAGTCGTGCTCAAGTGTCTCCGAGATCTGACTTTTTTACTCTGAAAACACAGAGAGTAAACTTTCACAATGAAAACATGACTAAGTAATTTGACTGTGATGTTCATACTCAATGTTGTTAGGACATACCGCTACCCCTTCTTCACACCCGACGGACTTCACATCAACCCACTTGGCAACCGGTACCTGATCTCCAACATCACCCACGCAGTCCAATCCCATCCTACATACCTCTGACAACCCACCCCCACATCCCACATCCCTCCTGCCCGTCTGTGCCCCAGCATCAACCCCTGCTCTCTTCCCCAGCACAAAATTACAGTTTTGTCCAGACCCCGCCCCTACAGACCGTCCATACCCAGGAAACCGTCCTTCACCAACCTCATCACTGTTTCCCCCTGCCCTCTCTCATCCTCTGCTCCCCCCACTTCGAACTATGGACTCCCCATCAACAATAACAACCCATCTACCATCAGGTTTTGCCCTTTTAAATGTACGCTCCCTTTTAAATAAGACTTTTACTGTTAATGATTTGATTTTAGAACACGAGCTGGATGGTATGTTTTTAACTGAGACCTGGCTGGGTCCGGATGCTCCGGCTGTTCTTACAGAGGCCTCCCCCCCCAATTTTAACTTTGCTTTTAAAACAAGAGAAGGAAAGAGAGGTGGCGGCACAGCCTCAATATGCAGTAACACCCTGGCCACCAAACCTATTGTTTTTAACCAATACTCAAGTTTTGAGTATCACTCTCTTGTTTTTAGCAACCCCAAAATTTTAACAGTAATTATTTATAGGCCACCTAAAAAGTGCAGCCTTTTTATTATTGAATTCTCAGCGTTTTTATCACAGTTACACAATTCTTACAATATGATAATTTTAACCGGTGATTTTAACATACACATTGACAATCCCTCCTGACAATTTTACCCTAGATTTTTTAGATGTTCTTAATTACATGGATTTTACCCAACACGTCAGACAGCCAACACACAACAGGGGACGCACCCTCGACCTGGTCATTACCTATGGCCTGACTGCGGATGTGTCCTCTGTTGTCGACTTGGCTGTCTCGGACCACTACTGTGTGTTTTTTAACATCACTGGTTTTATACAGCGTGAGACCTCTGTGAGAACCGTGAGGAAGCGACATCTAACCCCTGAAGTGGCTGCAAATTTTATCGACATCCTAAACAACACTCCCCACTTGGTTTTACCTGCCCCCTGTGATTTTATAGCAAATGATTTTAACAGTAGACTTAGTTCTGCGTTGGATCAGGTGGCTCCTTTAAAAACAAAAATCATAAAAAACAAAATCTGCACCCCCATGGAGAAATGAAGAAGTACGCAAAATGAAACAAGAGTGCAGGGTGGCAGAACGAAGATGGAGGAAAAATAAAACAACAATCAACTACGAAATATATAAAAACAATCAAAAAGCATACAATTACACAATTAGAAATCATAAGAAAAATACTTTGCAAATCTAATCAGCCAGAACAAAAATAATCCAAAAATCCTTTTTTCAACCATCGACACCATTTTAAACCCTGATTTTAGCATGTCTCTTTTAACCCCCACAGACTCCCTCTGTGAGGATTTTGCAGTCCACTTCACGGGGAAGATAAATACAATCAGATGTAACATTTTATCCAACCGCACTACTGTTTTTAACACATCTGATTGTTTGTCTTCGCCAGAGGAAACACTGGACAGTTTTGTCCTGGTTGATGCTGAGATGCTTGATAAAGTTTTCTCCTCAGTGAGGCCCACCACATGTCTTTTAGATCCAGTCCCCACTCCATTATTTTTTAAGTCATTTTATGAATCTTTTAGAGAGGAGCTTTTAAACCTGATGAATTGCTCTCTTCAGACTGGGGTCTTTCCTGCAGCCTTCAAAGCGGCTGTGGTGAGACCCCTTCTGAAGAAGAGCAATTTAGATTTTAATGATTTTAACAACTACAGACCGGTATCCAACTTACCATTTTTAAGCAAAATTTTAGAAAAACTTGTTTTTACCCAGCTCAATGCCTTTTTAGATCAGCAGCAAATTTTAGAGAAATTTCAATCAGGTTTTAGGGTGAACCACAGCACAGAGACTGCTCTTTTAAAGATTTTAAACGATCTTAGACTAAGTTATGATTTCAAAAAGGTGACTGTGTTGGTTCTACTGGATCTTAGCGCTGCCTTTGATACAGTAGACCACACAATTCTTTTATCACGCCTACAACACCTCGGCCTCTCTGGTGCTGTCCACAAATGGTTCACTTCTTATTTAACAGACAGATCCTTCATGGTAAGTTTGGATACCTGCTCCTCTCAGGTCCATAAAATCACATGTGGTGTGCCCCAGGGTTCCATTTTAGGTCCAGTCCTTTTTAACCTGTACATGCTCCCTCTTGGCGGTGTCGTCAGGAGACATGGAATTAACTTCCACAGTTATGCAGATGATACACAGCTGTACATCTCCATGTCTCCTGACGACACCAGGCCAATGGATGCTCTTTTTAACTGCATTTTAGACCTGAAATCCTGGATGGCAGAAAACTTTCTCCAGCTTAACCAGGACAAAACTGAGGTTTTAGTCATCGGTCCTGAGGCCCAGAGAGAGAAACTTTTATCAAAACTCCAATCACACTCTTTTAATCCATCATCACAAGTGAAAAATCTGGGCGTAATCTTTGACTCTGAGCTGACTTTTATTCCTCACATCAAGAGTATCACAAAAATAGGTTTTTATCATCTAAAGAACATCGCCAGAGTCCGCCCCATTCTCTCTCGGGGCAACACGGAGACGCTGATGCATGCTTTTATCACCAGTCGCATTGACTACTGTAATGCCCTGCTCTCTGGTCTTCCCAAAAAGAACATTGCAAGTCTTCAATTACTCCAAAACTCGGCCGCACGTGTCCTGACTAAGACCAGGGGGCGGGACCACATTACACCGGTTTTAAAATCGCTGCATTGGCTCCCCGTGTGTTTCAGAATCGATTTTAAGGTTCTTTTAATGGTTTTTAAATGTCTTAATGGTCTTGGGCCTTCTTATCTTTCAGATTTGCTTTTATCCTATGAACCTTCCCGGCCCCTGCGCTCCTCCGGCAACAGACTCCTAACCATCCCCAAAGTCAGGACACACACTCACGGCGAGGCATCTTTCCAGCACTACGGCCCCCGTCTCTGGAACAGTCTGCCGGAGGAGCTCAGGGCCGCAGAGAACGTTCATATTTTTAAAAGTAGGCTCAAGACGCACCTTTTTAGAGTAGCTTTTGATTAGTTTTTATTATTCCATTCTATTTATCTTTTATTATTTATTATTTATTATATTGCTATTGCTATTATTCATGTATTGTGTGTTCCTTTTAGTCTCACATTTTAGTGTTTTACTTATTGTATTGTTTTTAGTGTACCCAGTGTTTCCTCTGGAGGAGCCCTCTGCACCGGGAGCAGTGGTCGGTGTGGCTGCGGGGGTCGGACTCTTGGGCCTGGTGGGGGCCTGGGGCCTCGGTTTCATGTCTCCTCTGGGTCCTGTGTCGTCCCCTGTGGCTACGGGCGGCTCTCTGCTCCTGGTGCAGACGGCTCCTTGGATGACGCTTTTTCAGCTGGTTGCATCTGAACCCTGCCAAGTCTCTCATCATGTTTTTATTGTTTTACTGGTGTGTGTGTGTGTGTGTGTGTGTGTGTGTGTATGTGTGTTCATGAGCGCGTGTGTGTGTGTTTGTCTGTGGTTTGGGGGGGGTCTGTTGGGTGGTCTGGGGGAGGGGTCTTGGGCCGGCGGGATTGTTTTTAACCAATCTGTAAAGCACTTTGTGTTGCATCTTATGTATGAAAAGCGCTTTATAAATAAAATTTGATTGATTGATTGATTGATTATTTTGACGACACAGACAGTTTCATTGACGTTTGAACTTGCTTTTGAGGACATAACTTTTCATTTTGAGAAAGTGACGCACTTTTGCAGGTTATCCACGAGGTTCTGCAGTTTGCACTAATTGTTCTGAGAAATGCACCAACAGTTGTGCAAATGTGAAGAACGATGTGAAAAATGCACCAAAGCGACTGAGAAAAACTGTAATAACTATAGATCTGTGAACTAATGTATATCTAAAAGTAATTGCGTGTTGTGTTGTTGGAATTCTTGCACTATAAAAAAGTCCACCTAAGATGCTATATTCTCATTGGCAAGGTGAAGAAGTGTCTTGCCCAAATTCTCAGTGTGTCTGAACCTTGCACCATTTGCTAACAAGAAGCCTTCTCCTCCACCTCCAGCTGTAATGAATGAATGCCTTTATTAGTTTATTAGTATAAAATGGGGACTGATAATAATATAATTTATGATGATGATCAGACCTCATGAACTAATGTGCTTTCATTGTTCTCTACAGCCTCAAGGAGTTCCTTCCTAAAGAGTACATAAAGCAACGTGGAGCAGAGAAGAAAATTTTCCAGGTATGTCCAGGATGTTGTTGAAAACCAAAACCTTTCCTACAACTATCTTTAAGTAATTCCCACATTCCGATTTCCCACCAGGATCATAAATCATGTGGAGAGATGACGGAGATCGAAGCCAAGGTTAAATATGTGAAGTTGGCGAGGTCCCTTCCCACGTACGGAGTCTCCTTCTTCCTGGTAAAAGTAAGTGACAACTCTGTGAAGTTTTTTTCTTGTAAGGGAGATAAAAAGGGGTCAATGCATTCCTCTATGAAGCCAATTCTCTGTATTTGTTGCTCGGACGGTTGTGATGTATTGCCACATTCTTGTAAAACGCACACCAATATTGAGCAATGTTGAGCTATCCATCCAGTCGTGCGTTTTCTTCGCCTGTTTGCGGCTGAGTTATGGAAGCAGCTGAAATGCCCAGACTGCAAACACACAGTCTCCAAACACACAGTTCAACAACAATGCATGAGTCACGCTGTGCAAAACATTTCATTTGAGGACAGGGGACAGAGATTTCGACATGGCACACCCATGCAGGGGAGGACTGACATCATCTATGTACTTTCTCATACTGTTTGTGTCATAGGAAAAGATGAAGGGTAAGAACAAGCTGGTGCCAAGGCTGCTGGGCATCACCAAAGAGTCAGTGCTGAGAGTGGACGAGAAGACCAAAGAGGTGGTGCAGGACTGGCCCCTGACCACGGTCAAGAGATGGGCGGCTTCTCCAAAGAGTTTCACACTGGTAACAAGTTCAATACTCTGCAAATAAAGATTACTGACTGACTGACTG